ATAGTTTCTAGTTGTAGTAGAAATTATACTTACCTGTTGGACACCGCTATAAACCTGTAAAGGATCTCTGTAGCCGTATCATTGTTATAGTACTGCTGTTAAGAAGGCCACGGTACTGTAACACTTTCTAAAATCTGATTAGCTATTGCACTTAATAGCCAATCAGATTTTAGATAGTCTTCAGTTTTACTGTTTTACTAGCAACTCTAGTAGATATACAAAAACATATTTATTATTTGTCTTATATTAACCTTGCTTGTCTTATAAATTATTTTGCTAGTGTGTATATACATAGATGGTGAGGAAAGGCGATGTTAACAATGCATGTAAATATTGTAATAATGCAAATACGTCTGCTAATACATGGTTTGTACTTATTATATATAACTTATCGTATTGTTGCAAAATAATGCGCAAAGATGAAATTAAGAATTTCGGCCTAAATTAAGCTTAATTCAGGCCATTATTCTAAATAACACCCATGCCTGTTATTTCATATCCTTATTATTGTTTTTTTTTTTAATTCTTATCATCTTTTTTCAATTTGTTCTATAGCCTTAATTATGTTAAAGATGGTAATAATCTGCTAGATTGTGGTGGTGAGCACCATACTGAAATTGATGTTATTGTAAAGACATGCTTCTATATTATAAATGGATTACAAAATGGAACTGGTGTTTACTGTAAATGGTAAATAACTAATGTTCTTGGTTCTTTATAGTATAAAAATTAAAGCTTATAAGTATTTTGTACAAAAGAGGAGAGTCATTTTGTCCTTTGAGTCTATCTATGGTTTATGAAAGAGGTCGAAAGTGTGATATTAGATTTTTAAGTTCAACCGGTATAGCTATTCCAACCAAAGCAATCGAAGACCGTTGTTGATTGACTAGAATAAACCAATCAATTTTAAATGGTTTGTTGAGTAGAGAACTAACTGAACAAGTAAATACAATCAAGGTTCCGTATATACAAATTGCAGATATTTTTGGGTAGCTGCTAGTGGAAAATTTAGTAACCGATTTTTATATCGTTTACCCCAGACCAACTTTTGAGATACCAACAAAATTAATTCATATTAAAAAGTTAAAATCAACAGTAAAAATCTTCAAACATCTAACGGTAAGTATTAAATTTTATTAATTAGAATGTGCATAACCAATCATAGTAGTATGACTAGTTTTTGTCCATTTTGATATCAAAGAAAATGATGCAAGATTTATTTATTTCACATAGGAAATGTATAACAAAGCCAGCGATATATTTGAAGAATTAAATTACCAGCGTAACTTCCTTGAAGGTCGATGGTATCAAATCATTACAAAATGAATCATGCAAATCAATGGTTATCCACAAACCGTGGTGAACTTCGAAGTGCAAATCACAAAAAACCCAAGTATTAGCTGCAATTGAAGAAATGGAAACCAAATAAACAATGTTTATTAATGTAATAAATAAGAAGGATGATAGCAATGTTTAGAATAGATAAAAGATAATTAATACATCCAGTCTAGTAACAAATAGAAACATGTATCTGTATTTGCATGAAGTTTCTGTAGTGCTAATTAGAGCTTCGATCCTATTTTTGACAGGCAATCCAGATTCTATTAAATCTAGATTGAATCCGCATTAGATTACATATAAAG